AGAACACTATCCCCTCTCTCCGTTGCATATAGTTTTTACAAAAAAATATGAACTGTCCCATGCATGCGCTCTGAGCTGGTTAAAGAGTCCAATCAAAGACTTCTATGAGAAGTCTGTGATTGGATCAAGTGAGGCCCCTGTGATGTTGAAGGTGCATGAAAGTCAGCGCCGGGAGCTTCAACTGGAGCTGGATTTAAGGTGAGCAAACAATGAAAATCCCTTTAAGGATTAAAGGGACCCTCAAGACCCCAAAGCACCTTAGCTTTAAAGCATTATGATCACTGACAATTTTTGTAAAAGATTCCATAATTTCTTAAAAATGGAATATGCCCATAACAAAATAGAAATAAAACAAATGTTTACTGTGGTCGTTGCTGCCGCCCAGTAGTGATGAGAGTGAGCGCAGGACTTATCTTTTTGTATTTGTATTCACTTTTTGTATCACACAACTATGTTACAATGCTGCCGTCCATCCCATGTGTTCCCTATCAAATATTTTGACTCTGCCTGTCCCACATATTTGACCTTACACCTGCAGATAAGAAAGAACTGTAGTAATAATTATACATTTGTTGTTACATGTAAAAATGTGGCAGATCGAAAAAGTTCTACCCGTCACAGATGAGATAAAAATATTTATAAAAGAACAGCATTATACACCACGTGCTGAGACAGCAGTAAATACCCTTACTTCATAGCCAAGATTTGGCTTTCCTGGAATTAATTTACAACAAAGGCTTAGTGACAATAAAATGCTCAGGCGGGGGCATTTTTTATTTTTTTTATCAGGAAATCCTATCTGCTCCAAAGCTCTAAACATATCATTAGTATAGAGAACTCAGCCAATCGTATTGTGTACATCAGGGGTTTTGCACATGAGGGGCAAGTGGTGTGTGGAGGGGGAACCCTGCATTCCCACGGCTGGTAGGGAGAAGGAAAAATCTCATTGTTCAGCCCAGTGCCACCTCAATATAGGTGACACTACCTCCCAAAGACACACAGACATAAATAAAACATCCCAGCACGCACACATTCAATACACGCAGACCGGTGGAGAGACTGTGGGGATGGTCATAAGAATGGCCGAAGGGAAAGCGAGGCAGGCAGAGAAATACTGTGAAAAAGACAAACTTGGAGAATAGAGATACATGGAAAGAGAAAGACAATGAAAAAGAGAGATTGTCCTAAAAAGCTGAAAACATGAGAGGAGGCTGATGGGAGATGTGGGATACAGGATGGACCAGCAAATGTGATATTTGCCTATGGTTCAAGGAAGGCCATGGGATATTTTTTTCTGACTTATTGGGGTGGGTCTGCTGAATATGTTGAGAAACACTGGTGAAGAGAACATGGAAAGATTTCTTAATAATGTTACGTAACATGGCTCATTGGCAGCACTCTTGGTGGTGACAAAAGTAGGAATAAGCTGTATCGCTGTGATTCAGTTTGTTTTTATTCCGTGGTTGTTTGCATAGCGACTAATGCTCCTGTTCGGAATTTTCAATAAAATATCTCAACTATTGTGCTCCACTATTCCTACTCCATTAGCGTATTTCTTTTGACCCTAGTATAATTCTAATTTGAATTACAGATACAATTTTTTTTATTTTTTTTTTTAGTTTTAGAAATGGGATATGCTCTGAAAATTTCCTTTTCATGTCATTAGCATGTTTCTTAAAGGAATATCATATGCAACAGATCCTATGTAGCTTGGTAAACTGGTCTTTAAGAAAACCAAGCTGCCCTCCCACAACACCGACCTAAGCTGTGCAAAGATGGAAACAGAACTCCGGTTGCACAAAATCTTCGCCTTCTTCTGGGAGAAACTGGAGGCCCGCATGCAACCCCCAGTATCAGAGACTCTACCCAATTATCTGCCGCAGAACCCGACATGGGTGGCCCAGCAGAGGAAGGCAGTAACCCCAACTAACTATCTAACCGCGACAAGAGCTGCTGTGACTGTCTTCCAGCAGCACCCTCTAGGCTGTAGCCCACCTGCCTCCTACACAATGGTGGACACCACGTGTGAACTAACACTGCGAGACCTGTAGCCCTCAACCCTGAGAAAAACAGAGTTTGCAGGCTCTTGGACTCGGCCCGCCTGTCGCAAGGAAGCTCCAGTGCCTCGGTCAATTCAGCAAAGTGCACCTCCACCTCATACTGGCAGTACCCGCAAGTTGGCTCATACCCCGATTGCATCAAAGCGACGTCAGCCGCGGAAACCGCAATACCAACTGAGGAAGCGAATTGTGGACCGACGTCCTGTGTCACAGCCGTGGAGCGCCGAGCCCCATGGCACAAACGTCTGCAAGGAGCTACACGAAGAGAACACCACAGTCACCCTTGAGCTGCCTCTCATGCTATCTGTGGCTGGGTAGCTCCTCACCAAGCGAGCAAATCGCCCACTGCCAAGTCACCTCCATGTTGGACAGTTCTGTATACCCTATAGGCATAGGCTAAAAAGATAATAATATAGTGCTGGGATCCTGACTCTACATATTAACATCATGGGACATTGCATGTACAGTGTTCTATAAACCCTAGGGTAGCTAGCTAAAGTTGCAGTATATTATAGCAGACATGTCCTGCACCTGAATGGCAACATACCTGTAGTATGATCGCATACTTTGGTAGGAATAGAAGCCTCAGATGACACACTGTAGTTTTTAATAAATGTGCAGCGCACTGTGCAATAATCAGCCACCACTATGGGGATATCCAATTTTGACACACATCATAGATGATACCATGTTGATGCATACTTTGCATATTATTGCCTATTGTTGAATTGGGTACCATGTCGGAGAATGGGTCCTGTCTCGGATCCCTCCACTCATAATTTGACTAGACATGCACTTCTCAGCCTGCACTCTACATCCTGCTTAACTATGGTGCAGTTTAGCTTAATTGAATGCAGACACGCATGTCCTGCTTAATATCGTAACTAGCCTATGATAATCTTACTAAACCTCTTCCTAACAAAAAAAATTGTTGAAGTACTAACGATACCTCAATGTTACAAATGTTTGAAAAAAAACAAAAAAAAACATAAGGATTGCTGTTGGGGTACCCCGTGCGCGTTTGTTATATTCATATGCACTGCAAAAATAAAGAATTAAAAAAAGAAAAAGACTTTCCTCTACTCTACTCTTGTTTCCTAACCTTTTCTGTGGTTCGTCGCCCTGACCCTTTCTCGCAGGGGAGGGGGCCGGACTTAGTATGGTACCGCCTACAGCGCACCTAGATCAGGAGAGGAAGCGTCCCACTTTCCTCTGGGATGCGAATTCAAGGAATAGGGTACCTAGGCCAGGGATGTGGAGCTAACCCTGGTTTGACACATAGCATCCATGTGCACATGTATCAAGCTTATGCGGGAATGTCTCTGACCCATTGTTAAGAAAGGCAATAACTTTGTATTCTACATTCCTGTTTATGATGCTGTAAGAGCCATAAGTTAGCTAAGCTCATGATATTCTTAGGTATTATGTAAACCAAATGTGCTCTATTGACTGCCATATTAGAGTATGCGATGTTACGCCTGTAACTGTTGTTGTGGCGATGGAAACGGATGTGTTCATGTGCGCACAAATAAAATAAAGAATTTAAAAAAAAAGAAAAAAAGAAAACCAAGCTGCAAATGTGATGAATGTAAATGTTTAATGTGTAATAAGTTATTGTCACCCATAGGTTTTCTGTAAACCTCGCTAAATAACTTATTACTGGCATAATCTCCATTAAGAGTCCAATCTAAATAATTAAGACACATCTCTCGCACTTGAAGATAAATTAATTGTCTCGCTTACCTTCAGCATGTTTCCATGCGGCTAATCGGGATCCAGGTGGTACCACAGTTGACTCCTTTGCTGACTACGGCTCTTGTGTCCAGCATACATTCTGACGTCGGCCGATGCGCTTTGAAGCCATATAAAGGCTCCGCCTACGTATATGACATGGACGTGCATGCGTTATTACAAGTCATGTTACCAAGTCATTTTATGCAATTCATGAATCACAGTCCTCTAAGGGCTATTTAAACTTTAATTTGGTATTTGTCGTGTTTTCCATTTTTTTTTATAAATCCAAGAGCCTGTATTTTCTATTGATTCCTCTGTGTTATTGACTTTTTTCTAACTTCCTTGACCTTGGCATCATTAAGAAAATTAATAAATAAATTGTCCTGGGGTCCTTATCACCTTTCACCCAAAATTCATATAATCAATAAATCTGAAACAACTAACAAAGTAATCCTTGAACGGTTATCTCCATAGACAATAGACAAACCTCTCACCAGCCTAATGTTACAATGGTGTCGAAGGGTACAAACTTTGCGCCCACGGTTGTCCCACATCTTTGGAGATAGTATTTCACATCAAATATAATATTTCCTAGAATAGGATAAAACTAAGTGTATTTTTTGATTCAGAATCCTAACAAGACTTGGTAGTACTAGTATTCATAGAATCGGTTTCAAAAGCCAAATATTTCAACTTCTGCAAGCAGGAATGTACTAGGGTCAGCAGAAATAGCTTCTTGGAGATATTATATTTTACATATTGTGTGTGTCAATCTTTTTTGAGGTTTTTAACTTCCCTGGACATTTCTATTGCTGCTGGGTGTATTTAAATATTTGTATTGGCATTTTATGTGGCACTTGCACCTTAGAGTGGATACTTTATTGAGTGTTTGAACTTTGTAATAAGGGGGAAGAACCACATACAAGTGACCCAAGTCTTAATGAGAAAGCACCATTTATCTTTTGGAGTTTTACCAAGTCCAGTACCAAGGATGTGTATGTAATTTTTTTCCCCAAATCATATGCATATAATAACTGGCAAAGATATTCCATGACATCGTAGCTGCGGCAATCTGTTAGCTTGATTATTTAGTTGGTAAAAATAAAATAAAAATGGGAGGTAGTTTTTAATAGTGCTTAAAGGTAACACTCTATAGTGTACAGCAGCCTATTTAATATCTGCACAACTGCACTTTTTTGATTGGGGTATCGATATAGTGTAGCACCTTTACTATACTTGTTTTTTCCATTCAGGAACTTACCAATGCCAATGAAAGGGAAGTCTATTAGATTGAAAGAAAGTAACTGGGTCAGCAACTCTGCTGTTCTCCTTATAGCCACTGGAAATAGTACACATGAAAAAAGTTATATTTTAAAGTAATGTAGCTATAACATAAAATTAAAAACGCCTTTAAAGGATACTGGAAATTGACTGTGTAGAGAGCACATGGCAGGTGCACAGAAAACATTTCACCACTGAGATAGGTAGGGTGGAGAAATGTATTAACACAAGGTGCATTTACTCCTTATCCCTACTGTCAGTCCCTCCTGGTCTCCAAAGCAATTATCTCCCACTAAAAAGCATTTAAGCTGCAATAAATGTTCACTGAATTTGTTTATGTAAGTAGAACACATTTGACTTGGTTCCAAAAGGCTTACTAAAACAAGCCGCTGATGAGATCACCAAGGAAAGGTTAGAAAAGTCACGTCCCAGGCCTCACCTGTTTGCAATAATATATAATTGCCCCTTCTGCTCATATCTTTTACTGGGATTCGTGTTATCTATAGAGAGAAGAGTCCAGGAGCAAAGATTTCACTGACATCATCATAGTAAATAGTGCCACCAAATTTAACACAAAATTGGAAAAAAAAATATTCTCGACTTTAAAATGACAGTCATCTGGGTAGAAACTTTGTTAAATAAAAGTACCTTAACGCATTGCTTGCTACGCTCAGGTCTATATATACTCTGATTGTATGCCCATGAGAATATAATGCTATATCAGATCTACTGTCGGTGTTCAGCAGTGTTAGCAAATGAACACACACTAGGTTTCACTCATGTAAGCTACTGCTAATATCAGGTTAGCTCAGTTAAGCGGCCATCACCCTTCCTTTTTATTGCTAGCATGTCAGTACTTTATATAAGCATGTTCTTATGTCATATAGTTTACGTAGCATGATATGGCTACCATTACTGATGTAATAAGCCTGACTAACAAAACAAAAAATGTAGAGTTCTTGCCATGCATTTACCCCTGTTGATATGATTCTATGTGCTGTTATGACAGTGTATGCATTTCTTGTCAATCTTTTGCACAACCAAAAATAAGGAATAAAAATTAAAAAAAATAAAGTATCTTAAAGAGGAAATGCTCTTACCTGTCAACCATATATCAACACACTAGACAGAATTATCCAATCCAAAGTTAAATCTTCTGTCGAATTTACAGAATGCTACCCGACCAGAGTTCTAGTGGTCCAACCCCACATAGCCCAGTAATGTAAGCTTCCCAAAACAAGACACATCGAGCTAGTTATCTCCGGTATTGAACTAGCTATCAGCTTAACCCCTTAAGGACACATGACGTGTGACATGTCATGATTCCCTTTTATTCCAGAAGTTTGGTCCTTAAGGGGTTAAACACCTAGAGCAATTGGAGAAGAGCATTTTTCAATTAGTTTATTTTTTCATTTCTTGTGTTGTGTAACTTTCTTTTCCACAAATGACATGCAAAACATCAAGTATAGAACCTTTAACTTGTACAATTCAAAATACCTTTTGTCTACATTACACTGAATTTATCAGATTGATTCATCACAATAGAAAAAAAAAGTTTGAAACTGAAATGGCAGTCAGATTTCAGTTTTGATCAACACCTGCATAATATTTCACAAAACATAACTGTATTATACACAAAATAATAAACAGCTGAACTTTTAGAATTATTCTAAATCTAATTTTGAAAAAACATAAAGGACCTTTCCAGAACTATTTGTAAAAAGCGCATGTTTTGATAATTCTAATTCAAACTCCCTAGTACATTACCATTTTTGTACAAGTGTGAGTCTGCGACTCAGTGTGTGTCTGGCGGTGTGTATTTTTGTGTGTGTGTGTTTTTGGCAATGGGCCTTTGAGTGCCACTCAGGATGACTCAGATCAACTGGGATAACTTGGTAAATCACAGAGGATAGTAAATATAGAAAGGTACTTCTGTAGTTTATAATCTAAATTTTACCTTGGCAAATTCATTTGTTAATGAATAATCCCATGAGTGCCACGTCAGACATGGCGATATCTGGATAGATTAACCCATATTCGTTACCTACATTCATTAAAAGGAACAGAAGGGCACAGATAGAAAGCAAGGGAATAAATATGTATAGTCACTTAGCATTAGTACTCTAATGCCCTCATGTGGACATAAGTGGAAGTACAGGCAACAAAAAGTGATACTGATAATACACTTCTGCATTTGTTGTTCAGTTATGTCTCAACTTGTCATGAATTCTGCTATTGTGAGCCACATTGATGCTAGAATTAAATAGATAATTTACAGTTCTGGCCAGGCTGAAGGTCTTTAAATGGTATTTAAAGGGTTAAAGAATGCAGTTGTGGGGGTGGACCCAAGAAGCCATGCTGTACGGTTGCATACTCTGCTCCCTAATACTAAGCCAAGTTACCACTGAATTACCCATCACTTTTGTCCCCAAGTTGTGGGTTATTTTGGGCCTCCCTGACAGGCTTAATCGAGATGGTCAGAAAAAACAAAAGCCAGAAAAGCCTAGACCGGGCATGAGCATCGAGGGATCTCTGGCGGCAGGCACATGGCACTCTGGGGCCCAATATGGCCTCCTACCTCGACAACGACTCTGATATATATGATGATCCGACTGTGACGGACCGCCTGGCACCCTGACCGGGTACCTCAGTCAATCGCTGCTTCCTAGTACTTGCGAGCACCATAAGCACTGTACTGGAACACCATAACCACCATAAACCCCACGAACCACCGCAGCTTGGTTGGGGACTCACCGTCCTCCACCCACCCTGGACCCAAGACCAGGATCCAGCTTCCAGTGGGTAGACCTCTCCTAGTCCAGAAAGCGTAGCAGGAACAGCACTTAAAAGAGCCAGTGATTATACTCAGGGGAGTATTGTGATATAGCAATCCCCAGAGTGAATATAGTTCTCCAATCCCCAAACATGAGCCAAGACTTCATGAAGGGGTAAAGCATTCTGTTTAATGGAAGCCACAGCTGGCCTTTTATGCAAGTCCCCATGCAAGGGTGACACCCACATGGACCTTGTTGGGGACTGTGACACAAACTTGTAAACCAATAACAACAGAGTTAAAATGCATGACACTCCCACACATGGCACACAATCCCTCCCCTTTGCTTGGGAGATAATTGGATCATTAACTGTACTAATTCTAATCCAATTATCTCCAAGCACAGAAAAAACACACTTAAAAAAAACAAAAACAAGAAAAAACCACCCCAAAAGTACCCTAAAAATACATAAAACTGGGTAGTAGTACGTAGGGGACTTCCATGTAGAACGGGGTTTGTGCGAGTGCCATGCCCAAAACAGTTCCAGGCACTCGACGACCAAGTCCAACTGGCCGCGTTCGGGAGACAAGATGGCCGCCGTCATATGCACGAAATGGCGGCCACCTAGGAGCATTCAATTAGTCTGCGGTTTTCGGATGGTTATACAATGTTCCACGTTCTGATTAGTACCCAGGGTGGTCTCCGTTCGGTAAAACGAATTTTTTACCGAACAACGAAAAATAAAACAAATAACCAAGGGCATTAAGTAGCATGGAGTGGAAATAACCGAACGGTTACTGGGAAATCCTTCACAATGTTTATTACCAAATATCAAAGAATGTTGTTGCTTGGGGAGTTCTGGAAGATATGACCATAGCATATAACGACCTAATGGCACAGTTAGCAGAATCCATGACATTGTGAATGTAGTATTACAGTGTTATAGGGGCAAGACTAAGTTATTATCAGATACTGAGGTGGACTGACAACAAAAAAGTTATTTTGAAGGTACAAAAATAATAATAAAATCAAATCACATATATATTATTTAGCCTTTGGTCTGTAAGGAAAGTGCCAGAATGGTCAGTCCATCCCTGATCAGGTAGGACGTATAGGAGGACATTAAAGCTCAAGTGAAAAATATTGACAATATCTACATCTTAGTGTCTAAGTATGGTATTACATCACAATTAGTGTGAATACAACTGTGAAAAAAAAGAAAAAGAAAAGAAGAGGGGGTTACCTGACCGGTGGACCTTAGACTATAGTAACTTACTGGACAGTTGAAGAACCAGATGAAGCTTGTGAAGTGGAAGGTATAGGAGTCATAGGGCTCTGGTCTCAAGAATGGTGAGTGGAGGCTTGGAAAGCACCAGTACTTCTTCTGCAGCACGTTCTGAGCTCCTCCAGGATCCTTAGCTTAAAAATGGAGATCTCAACAAGAATTATGCAATTCCGCTGGACATCTATCAGGAGTCCCCAGTAGAACTTCATCATAAAGTCTTTGGGGACATGTTCGTTTAACAGGAGAACCACCAACATCCACATCTACGGAGAAATTCATTTTAGCATTGTTTGGTTTGTAAAAATAATAAATAAATTAAAATAAAAAGAAGGAAGGAACTTTATCCACTAAATTAAAATTTGTGTTGGATTGTCAACAGTGGGATGGAGGAGATTTAGCTAGGTAATTGACCAAAGGGATTGCTATTAGATTTATACGTCGAAAACTTATAGTCCTCGGAGGGTGCCCTCGTGGTAGGGGGGGACTTCAACACCCCACTGGAACCGATCCTAGACTCCTCAACGGGACACAGCAGCATCCCACAAACAGCAATTCGGACGGTCCGAAGGACCCTACACGAACTGCGATTGGTGGACGTATGGCGTACCCTACACCCAGGAGACCGAGATTACACGCATTACTCGGCCATGCACAATAGGCATGCTAGGATAGACTACCTTTTCATCCAACAAGAAGGACTGCAAAGACTACTGCAGGCAGACATCCGCCCCACTCCATGGTCGGACCATAGCGCAGTATACATGCGCATGGAATCACCCCTATACAGACCTACCCGGACCGTATGGCGCTTAAATGAACTACTCCTCTCCGACGAACCGACGCAGGCACAATTACTGGAACAACTAAATAACTACTTCACTGAAAACGACACCGAAGAAATCTCCGCACTTACTCTGTGGGAGGCCCACAAAAGCGTTCTCAGGGGACTACTTATCCGGATATCAGCGCAAAAAAAGAAAGAAGCACAACGACAAATGACGGCACTAGCGGAACAGATAGCAACGCTGGAAACGCTGCACAAGAGGACCCGACAGGAGGAGCATTACCGCACTCTTTTGACCCTCAGACGGCAACTATCGGACCTGATAGCCCGCAAACACCACAGGTCGATCCAGAGATCGAAGGCCTTCTTCTACATCCATGCCAACAAGGGAGGAAGGCTGCTAGCCCGCATGCTGCGGAACCAACAAACAAGCGCACAGGTAAGCGCGCTGCGAACAGCCAGGGGCACCACTACGCAATTCCCTGAAGAGATTGCAAATGAATTCCGCTCGTACTACGAAGACCTGTATAACATACCGCCCGAAATCCCGGACGCGGACGAGACCGGCACCGCAGGAGACATCGCACGCTACCTTAGAGACTTCAACCCTGAAACCCTATCCCAGCAGGAAGCAGACGCCCTAGACGCCCCGATATCTACAGACGAGATACTGGCAGTGATAAAAACCACAAAAAAAGGAAAGGCACCAGGCCCGGACGGGTTCTCGGCGGGCTACTATAAAAAGTTCAGAGACATCTTAGCCCCACGTATCGCCAACGCCTGCAATCATCTCCGGGATGGGGGTATATTTCACAGAGAATCCCTAGCAGCCATAATCACAGTGATTCCCAAACCCGGTAAGAGCCCGGAAATTTGCGGCAATTACCGACCCATATCGCTGCTAAATGTGGACGTGAAGATTTTCTCCAAAGTACTAGCTACGCGACTGCAACAATTCTTGCCAAGGCTAGTCCACCCAGACCAGACAGGGTTCATTCCGGGAAGAGAGGCCAGGGATAGCACACTGCGGGCCTTCACCATACAAAGCCTGGCGCGTAGGGGAACATCGGACTTCCTTATGCTCTCCACAGACGCAGAAAAGGCGTTCGACCGGGTACAGTGGAGCTTCATGTTGGCAGCGCTGAGGGCGATGGGTCTGGGGAACGGCATACTCACCTGGATAACGGCACTATACACCGACCCAACCGCCAGAGTACGGGTAAATGGAGCACTCACAGACAACTTTGACATCAACAACGGAACCAGACAGGGATGCCCGCTGTCCCCCCTCCTCTTCGCCCTCTCATTGGAGCCGTTTCTAGACAAGATCAGAAGGACACCAGAGATCCAGGGATTTCAACAGAAAGACCAGACACACAAGGTGGCTGCATACGCGGATGATATGCTTTTCTTCGTCGCGGAACCTCAGGGCACACTGCCGGCCCTCCTACGGGAGTTCAAGCAATACGGGCGGATATCAGGACTCAAGCTAAATCTAGCAAAATGCGAAATCCTGGCAATACACACCGAAAGGAACACGCAGGAGAGACTCCAACGCAAGTTCCCTTTTCACTGGTGCAAGGAACAGATGCGCTACCTGGGGATTTGGCTCTGCCGTGACTCGGGCGAGACATACGAAAGGAACTATACACCCCTCTTACGCACTATACTGACGGACCTGTCGAGATGGTCGTACGACCACATCTCTTGGCAAGGCCGAATAGCGGTGGTCAAAATGAATATCCTCCCCCGCCTCCTCTACTGCTTCAGCGCTATCCCCTGGCACCTGCCACAGGACTTCTTCACCAGGCTCAAAACAGCGGTGACGAGGTATGTATGGAAGGAAGGGAGACCACGGCTTAAGCATGAAAGACTATGTTTGCCAAAATCATGGGGAGGCCTGGCCCTGCCGGACTTTCGGAGATACTTCCACGCGACAGTACTGCAAAGAATTCGAGAATGGCACACGGCCCCCACCAACAAACTATGGACAAGGCTGGACAGGGAAAGCACAAACAGAGCACTCCACACATACATCTGGCATCGTCCGACAGGGGCTACACAAGCCCTGGGTGCGGAGTCCCCAGTGACGCAGACGCTGAAAACCTGGACCACCCTGCGAAGGGAAGCTCACATCTCGCCACAGCCAAGCCCCCTGATCCCCCTGACATATAACGTAACCATAGGAGGGGGACTACACGCAAACGCGTGGCCAACGCAAGGAGCAGAGGGATATGTACCCCTGAGTTCGGTCCTGACAAACGCCAGCCTGCGCAGCCTTCAAGATTGGGCGGACACAGATCGTCCGACAGTAATGCACCGTTTCCATTACGCACAACTGCGACACTTTTACCACAATATGCCCAATAGGGAAGCGGTACACAGAGAATGGACCTGGTTCGAACACCTCTGCCAGAGCTATCCAGAGGCAGATGGTAGAGTATCGGGCATATACCAGCAATTGCTCACAGGGGAACTTTCCAGAAACAACGCCTTCCAGAGGCAGTGGGAGGAATTGACAGACAGAACCTTCACAGACGCCCAATGGGCGCAAATTCTCATATTACAACACAAAAGCTCCATAAGCACCAGGTACCAAGAGGTGAACTACAAGCTGATCTCCCAGTGGTACAGAACACCAGCAAAACTACACAGGATATTCCCAGGGGTTCCAGATACTTGCTGGAGATGCGAAACGCAGCGAGGTACACTGCGCCACATTTGGTGGGACTGCCCTGGGATCAAGCCATTCTGGGAGGAGATACAGCGGGAAATCACTACAATTCTGGGTGATCCACCAGACTTTAGCATAGAGGCTGTGCTCCTACACTTCTTCACGGGACAGCTGGCACAATACAAACGCTCAATCCTACGACATCTGCTGAATGCGGCCAAAGCATTGATCCCAGCGAAATGGAAGCAAACCCAGCCACCTTCCAAAACGGAATGGCTGCAGAGAATAGAAGAGATCCACACAGCTGAGGCGAGATATGCTGAAATACTTGGAAGGAGGGACAAACACCTTGAACTGTGGACGCCATGGTACTTATACACGTCACAACAAGGATAGGGGATGGGTCACCACGGGGATCCTAGACCAACACGCGCATCTTAACACAATCACCCTCTTCCCCACCTCAACCAGACCTGAACTGATGGACTAACTCGGGAGTCAGGACAGACTCATGCCACACCATAGCTATGCCCCACACCTTCCAGACCTCCCCCCTTACACACTCCCACCCATACCTATCTTTCCCCTCCTCTTCCCTCTCTCTTTCCCCGGGCGAGGCCGGGGACCGCCAGGCGCAACAGGGCCACGATATATTTGAGCCCGAGAAGGCACCACGACTTCCCTAAGGGACGTGGGCCCAACGAGACATCGCTCAATTGACTCAGAGGGGTCCCATGACGTGGGAACTCCCACAATAAACAGCAAACACAAGCCAACTCTGGATGACTGATACAACTGAGCACTGAGACATCACACCATCCCCATCCGAAGGGGGAAACACTTCAGACACACCATAGATACCACACGTGGACAGCGACTGAAGCATGATAACGATGACCGACCACAAGTAAGCAATGCGACAGAGACGGCTGGCCTGGGTGCTCCCCCCCCCCCTCGCGGCGGGGGAGGGGACGCAGACCCGGGGAGAGGGGGTAGCTGACCCAGGAGAGAACCCACAACATATCTAGGCACCACCAAAGTTAAGGAGAAGACAACAGGAAAGGGAGCCCCAGGCCAGGTGCACGACTATAGGACCTGATCCCGCAAACCGACCCCTTTCTCACTCCCCATGTACGAGGACGTGACCTGGGACCTACCGCACCACTCACCATTGGATTGAGGTTCAGCTATAGAATTATACGGCCCTCACTGATGTGGGCCAGCGGTCATCCGCTTCCGATAACGTTTTATAAAGGTTCATCTAGAGTTGGCGGTACCTGTGTCAGACGCAATTGGAGACCTGCGAGTCTCACTGACGATATAAGCTCTGCTATCTGTTATTGTTTGAACTGCTAATAAAAGCTTTATTTACAAAAAAAAAGAAAACTTATAGTCCTACAGGCTGCATCTTAATGTAGGTCTATAATTTGTGTCAATTATAGATATCTTTATAGAAGTTCCCTGTTTTGTTTTTCATGGGGCGATATTGCATTTTCTCTTTGTGTAAGAAATGTAGGGTGCCTTTAAAATTTTTATTTTCTATTTAATATAAAGACATGCTTTTGTGAGGCTAGGTTGTGTAATAAGTTATGATAAGCGATCTGGTTTAATGGAATGGCATTTACATATCAAAAGAGGATGTCATCAAACTGTACAGCATAGATGACTTCTTTAGATTTCGGGAACAAGCTTTTCCAGTGCTTAATTACCAACACATATGTAAGAAATATTGTGTACATCTTTAATATAAAGGTTGCAAGAATCATGTTATCAGGAGATCAGAACATCAGAGTAATTAACATCTAGGTGTAACCATGCGAGTATGTGTTTTCCCAAGCCATCCTGTCTCGAAAACAGTCAAGGCATGCTCCTAACCTACCCACCCTAACTGGTCACTTCTTACAGAATGTTTTAGAATAGCTGGGGGGGAAAAGATCAAAGAATAAAACTTGTAACATATACATGCATTTTAATCAACAGCAGACACCATACACACTGACACACAGATACACACACTGGCACATACAAACACAGATACACACACTTTGATACACAGACACACACCCAGTGGTGTATCCTGGTTTTGTGCTGCCCTAGGCAGGACAAAACTCAGACGACCCCCTCCCCCCGCGCCACCCCTACCCAACCCTTCCCCCCGCCCCACCTTCTAAATACACACAGTCAGACACAAACACACACACACAGTCAGACACAAACACACAATCACTCACATTAAAACTTTATTTATTTATACCTTTGGGAATGCTGGGGGGGGAGTCTCTCTCTCCCAGTGGCTGCCGGTCGGGCGGCTGGCGAAAGAGCACTTCCTCTGAGCGGTCTGCTCCGCTCCCTCGCGAGCCGCAGAGTGAGGCTGGGAGCTGGAATATGACGTCATATTCCAGCTCCCAGCCTCACTCTGCGGCGCGCGAAGGAGCTGAGCAGAGCGCTCATAGGAAGAGCTCCCTCGCCAGCCGCCCACCCAGCGCCGCCCGACCTCAGCATGTCAGTTAGCGTTTTTTGCCGCCCCCTGGAAAATGCCGCCCAAGGCAAATGCCTTGTTTGCCTCGCGGCTAATACGTCCCTGCACACACTGGCACATACAAACACAGATACACACACTGAGGGGAGGGGAGTTCCACAATGTTGATACACTAAGTCACTACACTAAGTCAAAGGGTTTCATGGGAAGAAATAATTGGGAACCCCTGCTTTAGTAAATACCCCAGTCTGTGACATCACTATACCTCCAAAAGATTCTGGATTCAGCATGACACTCCTGATTTCAGACTGGTTCTCTGATTTCCGGCTTCCAACAGCGCTCTGTGAATGGGCAGCTCAGAGTGTGGCTGTCTTTAGGCAAGCTCCTTTCCAGCTGAGACAACACCTTGTTCACGTGAATTGCAAAAACCGCAGTACCATTCCCAAGCCCCCTCTTTGCCTACCCACTACCTATCCTGAATTCCTCCTTCTCAATGTTGGAAGCTGTAGGTCATATACAATACAGGCTACACTTAGTGGTGGAGTTATCATAATTTAAAATGTCCATGAGGGATAATGTTACTATCTATCAGTAAATAGGTACAGGAGTCTCATATTTCCAATTCCATAGCCCCTTTGTCTCTTTTCCCATCACCTTGTATTTTCTTACTCCTTCATCCCTTCTCATGTTCCCCAGCTCATTACAATTTCCTAGCATCTCATATCCACTTTTTCATTACACCTTTCCCCCATCTCATATCCCCTCTTTAATTGTTGTGTTTCATCACTTTCTGGTCCTCAGAGGCCACACAATTGAAGAGACTATTTCCATTTGCATTTAACTTGCAGCTCAGGATCCACACAACAACTTTCCAAGAAACTACATGTATCACTATATCACCAAACAATTACATTTTACAGGTAATAGATTACTGTCCTCATGGTCCGGTCTTGAAGAGAGCAAATGTCATCTACTAAAAGGCATTGGAAGATCTCATCCCCAGCACCATGCTTATCCGGCTACTAACTCCTCAGATGAGGACTCCTACCTGCTATTCCCGTTGTCAGTTACTGATGAATGGCAGATGGGTCACTCAGAAGAGGAGGAAAAATGGAAAGAAGGGTAACATGAGCCCCATGCATTGAGTGAAACAGACCACTGCCTTCTAAGGGGATGAAGATGTGCTTCTGGATACACAGGGGAACCGTCTGTTCACAACCAGATTTATCAGACATACATAATCATCTGAATGGGCTCTTCCAGGTCACTTCTCAAAATTCGTGCATTTATGGTTATACAAACCACTGAAACAGGAGGTCCACAACCACATTCAGGCAGAATGCCCAGATCGTCGCTTGCTGAAAAGATTGCAGAAACCCCAAAATGTTACACCACCGTGTTGATCTTCATGTTCAGGATGTGAAGACACCCTCATAAAGGAATAGAAAAAGGGCTTAAGGCCAACCAAGAAATGCCCTAAGATCTCTTGGTAACCATGGCGAAAATTCTGTATGTTGCGGATCTAGCCCTCTCCCAGGACTCAAAATTGGATCCGAATTGTATAAAAAAAAGGGCTCATCGATTCCTACGCCTTCTTGGAAACCCAAAAGTTCCATACGCTTCCTTGCAAAAATGCACAAAGTTGTCCTCTTACGTCTTGATTCTATATTATTGGATCTCTAAATCTAAATTTTGGATGAAAATCCCCACACTCAATTTGCACTGTATAGGTTGAGGTCCTACTTCTTTCTTGGTTCAAAGTGATATATGGTCAGTCCATTGCCATCATTTGACCTTTCCTGCCTGCGTACATCTTAACTGCGCCTATGTATCAAATGTATCTGAAAAGACTGTATCGCTATATCAAATGCCAATGAACAGAAAACTTAACAAGTTTCTGTTAATTGAAGGCTAATAGCAAAATAATATTTGACACGGGTAAAAAGTTTGTAATATGCTGCACACTTTTCTTTTCACTTTAATCTTAAGAAATATCAAAATAAATAAATTCTGTTTCTGGCCATGGAATACAATTGCACACTAGTTCCTTTTTCAAATAATCCCACTGGCAAAATGAGTATGAAGGCAGAACAGGGCTCACTTGCCATGGTCATATAACAGACCTTATTAACTACATACAGGCGATACCATGTCCGATCCATGTCTGGGATCTACAAATTACACAATATCCTTGGGGGAAATAAATCACTGACCAGGACAATCATGTTAGTGTGTTTGGTTTCCACGGTCATCTTAGTCTACTAAACAGAGTGAGCTTCATGTCACAGAAAATTAAAATATCAAGGGACAAAGGTCTACCATTACTCATTACATTAAGATAAGAAATGCATTTTTGTGAAGGTTGTCTATTAATATTGCTTAACCTCTACAATCTAATTTTTGTAGGTGGGGGGGGGAATCCTAGGAATAATGATGGTTAAAAAATGTTTTTGCACTGTTAAAAGCTCCAGTATGCTTGTTTTAAAAGAAGCTGTAAATTCTGTGTATTCTGCAATTCATATCTTTATTGGCACACACCTACCACAGGCATTTAAGACCTCTGTGTGTCGCTTCTAATTACATACTTACTAGCATACCAAGACAGGAGTTGGGGAGATAAAGACAACAATCCTATCAACCTATAGCTCCATATTACATAGAGCCACTGCTGCCCTGAAGATTAATATCCTACCAGTCGATATATATCCTAAAAGCAAAAGAAACCTTAGCCCTAAAAATGTATGCAATAAAAAGGTCTAAAAATTAATAATGCATTAAGAGAAAATAAAACCATCTCATGGTTATGGAGACCAATGAAGGAGTTAGAGAAATATACTTAACAATATAGGAAAATACCACCACTTGATCATTCAGTAGACATAAACCATGGGCCAAGGCAGAGTGGCTTATAAATGTCTCCACCACAATGATTATTTACCACCAGTACCTGCTACAAGGTGACAGGTCTAGGGCTAGTGTGCTAGTGTCAGGGTTAGGGATAATATGCTAGTGTCAGGTCTAAAGCCAGTGTTCCAACTTTAGGGCTCCAACTTTAGGACAGAACCAGGACATACATATTCCAGTATGCCAAAGATTGGTGGGAGTTAAAATATATGATCTCACTCTAATTAGATTATCTTTAACACAGTGGTGATTTCATGATTTCTACAGTCATACACAGTAAATTCTATTTCTTACAGACGCAGTCCAGGCACCGCAATGTCCACATGCCGATGTTATTGCTATGGTGCGATTAGATTGCACGCAGCATCACCCCAGTAGACCTGCTAGGCCATGAATGGCTATAAAATATGGCCACATAGATACTTCTATAATCCACAGATACAGCATAAGCAATATCATAGCAGACTGCTGGGTGAGGTTTATCAAATTGCTTGCTATATGCTGGGCTGTGATCAGGACCCTCGGGTTTGGTCAAACTATTTAGAAAGTGTTTGACTAAGAACTAGGTGACGGTGCCCAAAGCTTGAGGATACCATAACCACAATAATGCCGTGCACTGGTTATGGTGCCTAGACGTGATGTTCAGCAACTTTTTGTTGTTTCCTATTGACGAAGATTGTGTATCAGACATATTTTTGTTGTTATGTTGGCTTGTCCGTTCACCTCATGATGATCTTGACAGCAACTGCGTGGGTCCTGATACTCTCATATAGTTTAATATATACTTCAACTTGGACCTCTAGATGTTGGTGGAGTTTGAGATTAACATAAACGATAGTATCCATTTCTCTGTCTTCTATAATTCTCTCTCCTGTAATCTATAGAGTAAAATTATGACAGATACCTATGCTTCTTATTTCTGTTTGCTGAGTGTTTTGATCACATGACTTAAGTTACTCCATCTTTGTCTCTCCAGGTACTCCTTAGTTCTCCGCTACTCCCCACCGATTATTAATAAACCAATCCGTTGGTCCGAGGAATATTTCAATGCTTTTCTTAGAAGCCGCCAGTACAGCCTCATCAGGGTGAAACCAGCATTGGGCATTTCGGCTGTTAGTGGATAAGCTAATACTCATGTGGTTGTAATTAGGACATAATTTCACCTATATACTCCCTCCACACCAGGAGATTTAATGGCTTAGTTCTTAAACTAGTTTCTATTAAGGATAATTAGTGTAGTTTGCAGATCAGCCAGTAATTTTCAGTCTTCTGTGTCCCCATTCCTTACTTATTTACTACCAAACAAGAGATGCATGTAAAGATTTGTCAAGAGGACACATACGAGTTAGCATAGAAGACTTATTTAGGACTCATGCGCAACTATGGTATAATGCTGACATCTATTGGCTACTCAATGCAACTGCACTTACTCTCTCTCCTCTCTATAGCACATTGCTTTAAAAGTTAGTGTATGCATATCCTCTGGTAAATTCTAGTTACTTTAAGTTTAATTAAGACCAAACATTACATCAACTTTGATTTTCTTTAATTTGATTCATTTTGTAAAAAAACTTTTGCATTTAGTAAAACTTACATTTTAAATTGACCCATTCCTGGATCCTTTTAGTGTTTAATTGAAGCGTTACACCCCATCGGCTCTCATGGTCCATTAATCAGAATCTGTTTTGGTTGTTTCTGAGCTTAAAAGCAATTATTTGCTTTAAAATGTCTTAAGGGGAATTCAACAAAAAAATTAGACAATTTACTTTATCCAATCACGGCTGCATTGGCATTCAGATAAATACAATATAAGAAAGAAACTATAGAGCTTATACTACAGAGACACAAAACATAAAATGCAAGATATTCAATAAAGTGCGAAGTGCTATGTGTTCTACAAGTCACACTTTATTGTTTGGTTGCAAAAGGTATTGAAAGAAAATTCTGGTCACCAATACAGTTTCAAGACATTTGATGTGCAAATTAAGAGGCTGTATTTTTGGCGATGTTAAGATCTTTATAGTTTTTGAACACAAAATTAAATGTTTTGCAGAATACTGCACCAGAAACCTTTCTCGTTACCCATCATACCAGAAAGACTACCTTATCAGTGTGTACATAGCGCTGAGTCTCTAACAGCACTGAGTGAGCGGTTTTTAATTCACAACTTGGCTGGAGGCAGACATAGAAACTACAAACAAACAGGTAGTGGTAACCTTACTAAAATTTTCCCTGGGTGTCCTTTCCTAATGAAGGCTGCTTTGTATTTCAGATCACTCATTGTTTTCCATGACTCGTGCTGTGCACAAATGTGATAAGGAAGCATTTTTCTGGAGTGAAGGGGTGTGGCTAAGGGGGCTGTACTATAGTGCAGTATTCAACAAAACATTTTTTGTGCAAAAACTATAATGATTTGAGCAAGCAAGACAAATACAACAAATTAACAAATCCAAAAGCAATCAGATACATTGAAGTTGCATTGGTGCCCAGAGTGTCTCTTTAATTGTCTATATAGCTCTAAGGAGTAGAAACCAAAATTGAAAACCAACTTTCAGGCTAAAATAGCCAAACTGTGAATATAGCCGGATGGCAGAATTTTTCCAAATCAGCTATTTTGGCTTAAAATTGTGCTATTGTGTTTTTAATTCATTACAAACTTAGTGAGTTATATATTGTATAACTCCCAACATATGTGTTTATAACTTGAAGATGAAAACCCATGCAGTGTTGATAATGATTTTGCGCAAAACATGTGCGTCACTAACATTCCAAGGCTTTATTTAATGAAAGAGAACAAAAAAAATATAATGTTATCACAATACAAAATCTTTTGGTAACCAGCATGTATAAACAGAATCTTTCTGAAACAGATTCATTGAAGAAAAAAAACATAACTTGGGAGGCAGACATGACCTCAATTTATAGAATATACAGCACAGGTTCTTGTAAAGAAAGTTGGAGAAAACAAAAAAAGCAGAATTAATGCTCCATGGTGAAATATCACCTTCCTCACAACTGAATGGAGCACTCACTTACACATTAACTGGCTCACCTATGGGAAGAATCGACAGAAAGTCTTAAACTCTGGGTTGAAATCCTTAGGAGGAGGTTCTTGTAAGAAACCCTTTGTTGTCAATGTCATAATCTTTCAAAGCCCTTTCTCTCTTCACTTGCTGCAGTATGCTGAGCTGCTGGAGCTCTCTAGGCAATTCAGGGCTGGACAGCTTTAAAAGAATGAAAGAAATTGAGAAATAAGCATGCAATGTTCTACACCAAGCATGTCAAACTCGCGGCGCGACCCACAATGAATATCTTTGAGGCCCAGCCAAGAGGTGGCTCTCTAATTAGGCGATTTAGGTGGCAGTGACTGGGGCCTCGCGGCCGCCTAAATCACCTTAGGGCAGACTAACCGAGAGCCGAATGCAGTGTGCCCTGAGAGAAGGCCGAGCACAGGCTTCTATCTGCAGCTCCGCAGGGTGCAGAGTTGCAGGCTGAAGTGTCTTGCGATCTCCAGCCAATCAGAATATTGTTGCATGTTACCACAGAAACGCTCTGACTCTGCTAAAGACTGCGAGACACTTACCATGTGGTCTACAGCTCTGCACCTGCTTGAGCTGCAGATCAGATAAACAGACCACCGGACCACCAGTGAGAGAGGCCACCAGGGAATGGATTAGGAAATTTAAAAAAGGTATTTCTGCCAGGTATTTCTGCCCTCCACACTATATCCCCCAGCCTTCTTCACACTATATCACACACCCCCCTCCATACGGTCACCCCCCCTCCACCAAACTCCACATACACACTGTCACCCTCCTCTCCACACAAGCTGTTACCCCCCCTCCAATCCCACTGTCATCCCCATCCACACACTCTCACGTCAATCACCTGCCCACCACACACACACGGTCATCACCTTCTCACACACACCTGTGTTAGCCTTTCAGTTTGGCATGCTTGTTTTACACCTTAAATCTGCATTCGCAAAGCACAGGTATATAAATATATTTAGATATACTCATTCTTCCAAAAAAAAGAAAAAACAGATTACAAATTAAAATATACACACAGTATCCTTACACAATGACTGAGTTGCCTTGCAATAGGCCTAATCATTATTCCAGTTGGTTGCTTGTTAAATGGGACACTGTAGTCATCAAAACAACTTTAGCTTTGTCAATCAGTTTTAGTGTATAGATCATGCCCCTGCAGTCTCACTGCTCAAATCACAGCCATTTTGGAGTTAAATCACTTTTGTTTGTTTCTGCATCCCTAGCCACATATTCCCTGGCTGTGACTGACACAGCTGGCATGAAAATGAAATGGTTTTATTTTCAAACAGACATAACTCGATTTAAAAGTTCTAACCTTCTGCTCTGTAAATTGAACTTTAATCACACACAGGATTCTCCTACAGGGTCAAGATAGCTATTACCAGAGCAGGGGATAATAAATTCTAAATTAAACAGAATGTGCAATAAAGGAAGTGTAAACATTAGATGACTCTTTACAGGAAGTGTTTAGTAAAGTTGTGTAAGTCAGATGCAGGTAGGTGTGACTAGGGCTGTATAAACATAGTGATTTAACTCCTAAATGGCAGAGAATTAAGCAGAGAGACTGCAGGGGTATGATCTATACACCAAAACTGCTTCATTAAGCTAAAGTTGTTTTGGCGACTATAGTGTCCCTTAAAGCTTAAAAGAGGC